TGGGAGGGGGCCTGGAGTGAGGCTTTACCTAAGCCCTCACATTGTAAGGAGTAGGGCAGGCACAGTACCTCTCCAGGAACCTGACAGAGGTGGGAACTCTGCCCACCTAACAGAATTGCTGTAATTTTCTGAAACACCTGGGGCAGTTTCTCAAGTAGCTGACACTTATGGGCATTTAAAATGTGCTAAGGGCTTATAACACATTCTCACTTCATCCTCTCACTAACCACACGAGTAGACACTTAGTCCCTCTTCACAGATGAGGAAAGTCTCAGAGAGTTAAAGTAACCTGGCTGAAGTCACACAGCCAGTGTGTGTGAGTGGCGCTGGTAGGAGCAGGCTCCGGCCTACCACCCACCCCCTGCTGTCCGACAGGGTACCACCACCTGTGCCTGCGCAGCGAGAGCAACATGCCCCTGACCATGCCTGCACTCTTCGTCTATCTGGAGATGAAGGACTACGTACCTGGTGCCTGGGCAGGTAGGAGCCCATGGTGTGCCGGGAGCCCCAGGCTGTCTGTTCCCCCTTCCTCTTCATCAAGCCAGCCTCCAGAGCAGGGTGGGATCCAGTTGGGGCATCCTGGAATGGGTGAGGACAGGGGAGGCTTAAAAGCCCATCTCCATATGCACCATATTGTAATGTCCTGTGCACCCACCCAGATCTCACTGTGGCCCTCGCCAATCCCATCAAGTTCTTCAATGCTCATGACAAGAAGTCCGTGAAGCTCGAGGAGGCCATGGGAGGTCTGCCTGAGGTCTGTGTTGCCTGCACTGCTGCCAGGGGCTCGCCAGAGCTTGGGCTTATCTGTGGGAAAGGATTCAGGCAGGACCCGGACTCGGGGAGAGAGGGCTGTTGAGCCACCTTCCTAACCTGCTCTCCCTACACCCCTACACAGAAGCGCTTCCCGCTGGCGAGTCCAGTTGCCAGCCAGGTCAATGGGGCGTTGGCCCCAACGAGCAATGGGTCAGCAGGTATGAGCTTCGGTCTGTACACCTACTGGGAGGACCTCCATCTCTGCACCCACCGGCACTTCCCTTTAAAAACTCTCACCTGGGGAGGGAAGGGCTGTGTCTGAAACCTCAGTGCCTCAGTGCTGGGAAAGTGAGGGGCAGGGGGCACAACTGCGACTCCCGAGGGGCGCGGTGGGGGAGGCGAACGGAGCCAAGGGGGCCCCCAAAACACCTGCCAGCTCAGCCTGTGGCGTTTGCAGCAGCCAGGGTCGGGGCCAGGGAGGAGGCCATGAAAGCAGCTGCGGGTAAGGCCTGCTGAGCCCGGCGATCTCTGGGATGAGCCTGGGGCTGGTCCGGGGCTCCCTGGGGTTGGACGGGCAGGGAGGCCTGCTCGGTGGCGCGCCTCACCCCGGCCTCCGCAGAGCCGCGGACTGCCAGTCTGGAGGAGCTCCGGGAGCTGAAGGGCGTCGTGAAGCTGCAGCGGCGGCACGAGAAGGAGCTGCAGGAGTTGGAGCGGCGCGGCACGCGGCGTTGGGAGGAGCTGCTGCAGCGGGGCGCGGCGCAGCTGGCCGAGCTGGGGCCGCCGGGTACGGGTGGTGGCAGGGCCTGCAAGCTCGGCCCGGGCAAGGGCTCTCACAAGAAGAGGTAAGGGCCGTGGCGGCACCCTGCCCTCCGCAGAGCTGGCGGCGGAGGATCGTAGGCCCTGTCCCCACGTGGCCTCCTCCCCAGGAGCCTGCCCTGCGGGGAGAGCACCGGAGCTGCACCGGGCAAGGGCCCTGAGGGCGTGGAGGCGCGGGTGCGGGAGCTGAAGGACAGGCTGGAGCTGAAGCTGCTGCGGCTGGGCGAGGAGCAGTACGAGTGCGTTCTGAAGCGCAAGGAGCAGCAAGTGGCCGAGGTGGCTGGGACGGGCAGAGCGACAACCCCATCCACCCCACCAACCAACCCCCCCCAACTCCGTCTGCACAACAAAGGACCACTTGCCAAGCCGCTACTTCCTCTCCCCGCAGCAAATCTCCAAAATGATGGAGCTGGCCAGAGAGAAACAGGTGGCAGAGCTGAAGGCCCTGAAGGAGACGTCGGAGATGTACGACCCTCCCTCGCCTGCCTCGCCTCCCAGCAAGGGCTCGAGGCACAGGAAACAGCCTCTTCATTCCTGTCTTTCTGCAGGGACACCAAAGAGATGAAGAAAAAGCTGGAGACCAAGAGACTGGAGCAGATCCAGGCCATGACCAAAACCACCACAGACAAGATGGCCCAGGAGAGGTGAGCCCTGGAGGGGAGGCCCAGGGCTGGGCAGACCCCACTTCAGGTGGAAAGGGGCCTCTCTACAAGTGGATCCTGACTCACTTCCCAAAGATGCACCTGTCCCCTGGCTCTCCAAAAAGCCGATCCCACCTCTGTCCTCTGTTACCTTTGATCAGAGAGTGTCCTCCTTAGGCAAAACATGGAGGCCAACAGTACATAAGCAGAGCCCTGGAGGCAGCCAAGTTTGCAGGGAAGAAGCTGAGGCCTTGGGACCACAGCCTGTCCATTGTGGTGGCACTGTTTCCTGCACGGGCTTCCCATGGAAGCCTTGAAGGACAGTATGTTTTGCTGGGGAAATGGTTCCCTCAGAGGTCCCAGGACTCCCAGTGGCCCCGACATATTCCTTGGGTCCCCGTGCCTGCTCCCAGCTGGTTCCTGCCCTATGTTGGATATCTCATTTGCCTACACCCTGCGGAGATTTCATCTTACCCAGCTCTCCCTAGGGGTTTTCTCCCTTTTCTAAAACTCCAATTACACCAACAGGTTGAAGAGAGAGATTAACAACTCCCACATCCAGGAAGTAGTGCGGGTGATCAAGCAGGTGTGTAAGGGCTCTGTCCTTCCTAAACACACACACGTACACACACACACTCTTCAGGGTGGGAAGGGATGGCCCCAGGCCCTGACTTTGCCCTTAGGAGATGCACTGTCCAGTGCTGTCCATGCTGCTGGGATGGAAGAGGACATCCTGGGGTTCTGGGGTACGAGCATGAAGCGGTCTGTCACCAGCCAGCTCCCATGTATGGAAATGATATGTGCTAACTGGCCCATATCAGGGCCAGGGGAGGCTGGGATCGGTGAGGATTGGGGGATGAAGACGGAGTGAGACTTCCTGAGGTGCCAAGGAGTTGGAAGAGAGAATGGACCTGAAGCTCGCCTGGGGATCATTAACTACAGAACAGAGCTCCCACCTCCTGGGTCCTGACCTGTGCCAGGCACTCTGCCAGATGCCTCGCACGAGCTGTCTCTTGTAGTCTTATAGTCCAGTGAGACAGGTGCTGCTATCCATATCTTACAAATTTTTTAAACCACCTACATGTTAAGGAATTTGCCCGACGTCTTACAACTAGTTAGCTGGGATTACAGCTGGATTCCGACCCAGCTTGCCTGTCTTTGCTGTCCTGATTCCCTGCCATCCACTCCCACCCAGATGACGGAGAGCTTGGAGAGGCACCAGGAGAAGCTGGAGGAGAAGCAGACGGCCTGTCTGGAACAGATACGGGAGATGGAAAAGCAGGTAACAGGGTCACCACTGGGGACCCTGCAGACCTGAATGGGCTCTGGGGTGTAAATGGGCCCTGCCCCAGGGAGCTGCCAGTCAGGGTAGGGGAAGGGGACCATCATCCTTCATTATGGGGTCCTGAGCCCCTTTCAAATGAGGCAGCTCTGCAGACCTCTGCCTGGTTGGTATCCCCTTTCTTGAGAAGCCTCTCATGGGCTCCACCACTCCCCCACCCTGCCTCTCACCCCCATCTCCTGGGAACTATGAACAAGGATATTGGACATCTCCTTTTCCCACTGTCCAGGGAGTGAGGGTGGACAGGGGGCCTCTCCTGAGCCAGGCAGGGGTCCTTGCTGTCTCCACAGTTCCAGAAGGAGGCACTGGCAGAGTATGAGGCCAGGATGAAGGGTCTGGAGGCAGAGGCGAAGGAGTCAGTGAGGTCCTGCCTCAGGACCCGCTTCCCCTCGGAGGCCAAAGACAAGCCTGAGATGGCCCGCGAGTCCCCCAGAGAACTGTGTGAGCAGGACCCACTTGTAGCAAAGGCAGATGCCCAAGAGAGCCGCCTCTGATGCCCCCATCCCACTGGACATTCAGCAAGGATGTTCAGCCCCTTCTCTGGGATGTGGCTCTATCCCCTCCCCCCCAGGAGAAAGGAGCCCCAGCCTTCTGAGGCTGTGGGAACCTGTGGCTGCCTGCCTTGGATGCTACAGCCCCCTCCTCAACAGCCAGGCCCGAGGTGGAGACAGGACCCAGGCACCCTCAGGGCAGGACCTCTCTGGGGCCTAGAGGTCTTCTCAAGCTGACTTCCTACCCCCCATCTCTAGATAAGTGTCATATATTTGTTGAGGGCAAAAGACTATGGACTGGGAGGCAGAAAGTGGGATCCTGGCCCCACTCTGCCTTTCCTAGTGAGCACCCAGCCGTACCCTACTCTAGGCTCAGTTTCCTCACCTGTAGGGTTGCACTCACCCACCTGCAACCTCCGCTCTAGCCCCAAACCCTCCTGCCCCAATGTCAGCAGCTCTGCCGGGCTTCCAGGCCCCATCAGGCCTGGCCTGAGTTGGCCTTGTCAGCTCCTTGAGGCAGAGCCTGGCACTACCTCACAGCTCCCTGGGGACGGCCCTCCCCTTCCCTCTGGGACAGAAGGCTCAAATGGAAAAGCTGCCTCGCGCTGCTCGGCTGAGTCACTAGGGGCAGTGGCCTCTTGGGTGCTCTCCCACCCTGAACCTGGCTCACCCTTCTTCCTAGGCCTGGGGGCTGGCAGGTCCTAGCAGGCACCCCTCTCAGGCTCAGAGAAGGTCAGCATCATTTGCTTTCCTGAATTTATGAGGTTTATTTATTTTTCCTCCTTCCTACTCCTATTAAAGAACCTCGTCCCAGTGTTGGTGCTTAACCCTGGTCTCTATTCTATAGGTAGGAAATGGGGGGCAGGGGAGTGGAATGCCCCTGAAATGAAGTGTGCTGGGGAAAAAAATATCTTGGGAGCTGAACCCAGGGTGAGGTCCCTTCCAGAGCCCAGTGAAATGGCCCTGCTTCTGGGCTTGAAGAGGACTCACTTCCCTTTCTGCTGGCCCTGATGCCACAACCACTGGAAAATTATGTCACCCCCTCTTTGCCCCCACACAGATGTGGCCCTTCACTGTCTCCACTGTCTCCGGGCTGGAGTGGAAGAGCTGAGTGCAAAGATGTCCCCTATTTTGGGGGGGAAAGCCAGACTTTTAGGCCACCTACGCCACTTTAGGAAGACAGAATGTCTGGATAATCAGGCCCCTGTGGCAGCTATGGTTGGCCTCAAAACTTGCTTTAGAGGGGCTTGTGGGTAGCCACTCACTGTACCGATGGCATGATCCCAAATCCCAAACAGGGACAGGCACTGGCTTAGGAGAGCCAGAGGAGAGTTGATTCCAGGAAGAGGTTGTTTTCTTATTAGAGAGTTACAGCAGATGCCATTAACTGGGAACACCTGTTTCTTTGGAAAGTAAATAGGTCCACCTGCCCCAACCCTGCCATTGCGTCTCTCTGGGATTCTGACCTCTGGGATTCTACTAAGCCCTGGCTGTAGGGTGAGGCTAGGGGGCCTGATCATTTACTGGACTGTGGCCTGGCATTGATCAACCTGCTCCCTACATCACTACAGACTGGACACACCGGGGCAGAACACCTACACCCCAGGGCAGTGCCCCGTCTTCAACCCTTCTGCTGGGCACGGGACTGTAAAGGTGAAGATTCAGGCCTAGAGGAACTCACTGACCCAGGCACCTGCACATAAGCCATGGCCAGAGCCCAATGGAGCCCACTGGGCAGCCCCCAGCTTTTGCTGATGACTGTTTAGGAGAAGGAAAAGCTGCCTTCCCCTCGCCCCTGGGCTGGGCCACGCAGTCTCTGGGCTCCCCATCTGGAGCTGCGTAGCCCAGGAATGGGGAAAGCAATGCAATCCTGCCCCTGGAGAGGTTTCTGCACAGCAGACTGGGGCCTTCCCATGTGGTCAGGCCTGGATACCCACACCCCTGCTTTCCTCCCAAAAAGGCAAGGTGTCCCTCGGGCAAATATCATCTCTGGGCCCTGGAGATGAATTAGTCTCTGGCTGCAGGGGATGTACAGAGGAAGAGTTGACGTCCTCCCTTTGGGCACTGGGGCAGGTGAAGAACACCTGAGTTCCACCCCTGCTGTGAATGTATGGGACAGGGGCAAGGTTCCTTTTCCACCTGTCATGCCTCAGTTTCACCTTTTGCACAAAGAGAAGGGTCCTTACCCCTTTCCCAGTCCCTTTGCTGACTCAGACTCCAGTCCCCTGCTGATTCACCCGCCCCCTGCATCCCCTGAGCAGCCCTCTGGATCTCCCAGACACGTGCCACCAGGCCCAACCCTGCCGAGCTGGTGCAACGTGACATGGTGAGGGGGCTGGTGACACTGGAGGAAAGAAGGGGCCCGGGAGGGAGGCAGCTGCAGACAGAGTGACAGACCACAATGAGGCATCTCAGGGAGGGAGCACTTTTGCCAGCCTGGGGCCTGCTGGGGGACAGGCCCAGGAGGTGGAACGGGAGGGGAGGGGAGCAGGACGAGCCTATCTGCCCCCTGCTGCCTGGGCTCCATCTCCTGTCAGCCTTCAGCTCTCTAAGCGACAGCTTCTAATTCCGGCTGTTGGTGCCTCTGTGCTCTGCAGCAAAGTCTCAGCTTTTTTTCAGCTTTGCCGTTTCTTTTCTGTTCAGAACATACTGAGCCCATAGGGAAGTCAGAGCAAAGGCTCCAGGGCCCAACACTTGGCACCACCGCACTTCCTGCCATGGGAACCAACTGCTCCTTCTAAAGGGTACCCAGCACAGCACTTTCTGACCCAAGTCTTCCTCCCTGGAACTGTCTCAATCCACCATGGGGGAACAGGGCAGAAATGAAGCTGAGTTGTCTCAGGGAGGAGGGGCTCTTCAGGACCAAGAAAGTGCCCATTCTGGGTTTATGCTGCTTCTCTCCTCCCTTTGGGGGGTGCAAAGCTTGGCTTGTCACACAGTTTCCAGATGTCCTCCCTACCCTGACCTTGGAAATAGAAGGGAAGAAAGCAATTTTCCTCACACTGCTGAAAAGAGAAATTGAGTCATAAAGGGAAGAAAAGCCTTCTGCTGAGTAAAGAGGGAGAGCATTCCTGTCCAATTACCGGGGGTGGACAATCTCTGCCCATTCCTGGGGCCACCCCAGAAGGGGGCCCTAGCTCTGGGGGTGGGAGCAGCTTTGAGGACTGCACTCGAAATAACTGTGCAGCTCTAGAACAAAACAAAAGAAAACAAAACAAAAAAATGAAATAACTGTGCAACTCTTTCCCTGACACTCTGACTTGATCCTGTGTGAAGCAGGCAGGGCTGGTATTTAGCAGCCTCATTTTGCAGATGAGAATATGCAGGCTGGGGGCCAAACTGCTAGAACGCCTTCAAGATGGGACTTAACTCTGAGGTCTGATCTGTGGCCTATGACACCAGGGAAGAAAATTGGCAGAGCCCTGACCAAGGGCTTTGCGGTGGGTGCAGTTACACATCACATGTGCCTCACATGACAGAGGGGAGTGGGAGCCTCTGCTCCAGGTCCTGGGCGCCAAATTCAAGGTAGACATCCCTGGAGCCTGGGAACTGGAGAGAGGCAAGGGGCTCAGGGTGCAGGGCCATGAGCCCACTTTACCACGCCCATCTGTGCCCAGTACCTTTTCCCAGGCATCTCCTACTGCAAAGCATCTGCCCAGGCCGAGAACACCATTACTCTTCCTTTATTTTCTATCTCTGATAGGAAGGGACCCCTTATAGGAGCCCTCAACAGCATCCCCTGAAGGTTTATCCTGCTTCCAAGCCTTTGCCTCCAGAACCCGTCTGAAATTCCTTCCTTCTTTCTTCAGCAGCCAGACCCCGCACATCCTTGAAGTCCTATCTTTAAAAGGCTCCTGAGCCCTCTCCTCCCCACAACTCCATCTTTTCATCAAAGGACTGTGTTGGTCTGAATTTAGCAGATGTATTCACCCCTCAGGTGACAGCCTCCACTTTTTATGTCCCAGTGTTGTCGTCTTAGGAGGGGGAGTGTCTTCTATCTAGAATCGAGTTTATGCCTCTCTCTTTCCTGCTGCCGGCAACAAAAGGCTCATGAAAAGTCTCAGTAAATTCTGCAGCTGATACCTGCTTCACTCCTTACTTTACAAATATCCATTCCAACCCTACTCACTCCCTCCCCACCACCCACACCCAGGCCTGTGTATCATCTCCCCCTCCTCCAGGAGCGAGTGGGGCCTGCTGGCAGGAGGGAGAGGAGATGCGGTGGTTCCTCCGCATCTTATGGAAAATGGAACTCGAGCTCGCCTCCTCTCCTTAGGGGTCTGCCAGTGGTCAGGGCCAGAACCCTGTGGCCTGGGGGTGGCTTTGTGCTCAAGGGAGAAGCAAGGGGCAGGGAGCTTGCGTGGATCCCTAGGTCTTTCCAGGGTGGCAGGGCCAGGGAACTCCTAACATGCCCGCGGCATTCCCGGGTCCTAAGGTGCCCCTTTCTGGTCTCGGTGTCTGCACTCTGCCCGCTCAGCAGCCGCCGGGAGCTGGCAAGCGGGCGCGTTGTTGGGGTTGGAGACGTCTGAGACTGGAGGGCGCACTCGGCCCCCACCCCTCGCTCCGAGGGAACGTGTGGGGAGGAACAATTGTGCGTGAGTGCGTGATTCGCTGCACTTCGAGTGGCAGTTACCAGCCAGGCTGAGCGCCCCCAACCCGCGGCACGTATACCCCCTCCCCCAAATTACTCCTCAACCGCCTTTTGCTGCCACCCCTAGCTCGCACGTGGTCCTGTTCTGCGCTCATGCGGTCCCACTTCCTTTCACCCTGGACCGCTGTGGGCAGCTCTCAGTCTTCTCCTACGAGCCCGAGGTCCCGCCAGTTTCTAAGTAGCAGAGGGCAACGACTCGGATGGGGGCGGAGGGCGGGGAGAGAAGACTGCGACTTTGGGATTGGATTGGCCGGGTCGGGTGCATGTGGCCCCCTGCGAGCAGCCCCCGCCCCCGCCCCGCAACCGCCGCCGCATTCCCAGGGGAGCGCGGAGGAGGAGCCGCTCCCCGACTTCGTGGCCCACGAAGGTGTGGGGGTCAGGGGTGGTCTCCCCCGCCCCGTCCGTCTCTGCCCTGACGGTGCAGCCCGCTTCTAGGGCAGCCATTGCCATGGAGACCCCTGAGACTATAAAGCCAGGTATCTAGGCGGGCGGCGGCTCCCTCGCCGCTGAGCCCCCCAAGGAAGGAGCAAGCGCCCCGGCGTGGCCCGGCCCCCGCGAGAGGGGAGGAGGCGGAGGAACGGCGCCAGCAGCTTGAGAAGCGGCGCGCCCCTCCAGGGCTGGAGGCAGGCGTGCACCGCGGGCGCCACCGTTGCTGCGGGGGAGCGGGGGCTGCCCTGGGTGCGGGTGAGTGGCTCGGCTCCAAACCACGAGGACTGAGGGGCGCCGGACACGGGGAAAGCGGCGGGAGACTCGGGAGAGGGTCGAGCCTCGGCTCCCGACGTCTGGTGGCGGGCCAGGAGTGGAGCCCGGAGTAGCGAGCAATCAACACCTCCAGGCGGCAGCCCCGGGGAAGCAGCAGCGAGACGCCAGGCGTGCGGCCCAGGAGCGGCGGGGCCGCCGGAACCTCCCGGCGACCGGAGTAGGAACCTCGGGACCCTCGGCTGCAGCCGCCCACGCGCGGAGGGAGAGGTACAGGAGCGCGGGCGGAGGCCGGAGCCCCACGGGGCGCGAGAACAGGGGCGCCCCCGTGCGGAGCTGCCAGGCTGCCCGGGCGCGGCGGCCGGGGCCATGCTCAAGCCCAAGGACTTGTGCCCCCGAGCGGGGACGCGCACCTTCCTGGAGGCCATGCAAGCGGGCAAAGTGCACTTGGCCCGCTTCGTGTTGGATGCGCTGGACCGCAGCATCATCGACTGCCGCGCGGAGCAGGGCCGCACGCCGCTCATGGTGGCCGTGGGGCTGCCGGACCCCGCGCTGCGCGCGCGCTTCGTGCGGCTGCTGCTCGAGCAGGGTGCGGCAGTGAACCTGCGGGACGAGCGTGGCCGTACCGCACTCAGCCTGGCGTGCGAGCGAGGCCACCTGGACGCCGTGCAGCTGCTGGTTCAGTTCAGCGGTGACCCCGAGGCGGCCGACTCGGCGGGCAACAGCCCCGTGATGTGGGCGGCGGCCTGCGGCCACGGGGCGGTGCTCGAGTTCCTGGTACGCTCCTTCCGCCGCCTGGGCCTGCGCCTCGACCGCACCAACCGTGCGGGGCTCACCGCGCTGCAGCTAGCTGCCTCCCGCGGCCACGGGACCTGTGTGCAGGCCCTCACGGGGCCCTGGGGCCGCGCCGCCGCCGCCGCCGCGGCCCGGGGCTCCAACTCCGACAGTCCCCCTGGCCGCCCGGCCCCTGCGCCCAGCCCCGAGCGTCGACGACCCAGCCCCCGCCGCCTACCGCGGCCTCTACTGGCGCGCTTTGCGCGAGCGGCGGGTGGCCACGGGCACGGCGGCGAGGCTGGCTCAGCGGTCAAGAATTCCGGCCGACACCGGGCGCAGGGCAGTGAACGACCTGAGCTGGGTCGGAGCATGAGCCTAGCGCTGGGTGCGGTGACCGAGGAGGAGGCGGCCCGCCTGCGCGCTGGGGCCCTGATGGCCCGACCAAACTCGCCCCAGTCTTCGGGGACTGGGCGGTGGCGCTCACAGGAGGTGCTGGAGGGAGTGCCCCCAACCTTAGTGCAAGCCCCCATTGGTCTCAGCCCCCACCCGGAGGGCGGCCCCGGCTCTGGCCGCCTGGGTTTGCGCCGACGCTCTACAGCCCCAGATATCCCCAGCCTGGTCGGGGAGGCTCCAGGGCCCGAGAGTGGCTCAGAGATAGAGGCCAACGCTCTGCCTGTCTCGGTGCCTGGACCGAATCCATGGCAGGCGGGCACCGAGGCTGTGGCGCTGCACGCTCAGCGGTAAGCCGCTCCGAGCACCAGGCCTGCTCCTCTCACCCTCCCGTCTGTACTCCACTGGTATTTCTCCACTCTAGGTCCTTCACCTTTTCGGCAGCCGCCCCACTTCCCTGCAGCCCATTTTGGAACCTGGTCTCCCTGCCAAGGCGAGACCTTCACCAGCCCTCCACCGGAAATAAGCGACCTCCATCTTCTTTTTTGTGCTCCTCGGTATTCCCTGCCTGGGTCTAGAGGTTTTGATGACTGGTTCCATAGCCTACCAGCCAGGAAGGTGGATACCCTTCCCCAGCCCTCAGCCACCTGCTGCTCCTTTCCCCCCACCCTCCCCTCGCTGGGTTTCCCAACATCCTGCCAGCGGCCAGCGAGGCAAATAGACGGGTCCAACTTGAAGAATAAAGACCCAGCCTCCCCACTCTAACTAGTGATGTTGACAATAATGCCACAAACTACCAAAGTTCCCTTTCCCTCAAAGTGTGAGAGGAGGAAAGGACCGAGGGGGCCCTAGAGTTTTTGTGTACTGGAGAGCTGAGGAGGACAGAGTCTAGCTATTAGGTTTTTCTAGGGTAGAAACTTCGAGACAATGAAAGTATGTTTGGGGAGTGGGAGAGTCCCTAGTGTTGAACACCATTTGTCCCTTGAATCAGCTCCTGGGTAACTCCAGCTCCCTCTGTCTCTGCCCAGGATTCAGCACACAATCCCTACCTAGGTCCGCTCCGGGCTCCTGAGCCAGTCTGCTCTTCAGCTTGGATTCATTTGAATTCCATCATCAAGGTTCAACACCTCACCTCTGGAGGCCCAAGTCCTATTTCCGCTCACAGAGGCCTGAAATGCAAAGGACTGAGCGCTTCCCCGCCTCCACGCCTCCAGCTCCCCTGTCCCGCACGTGGGTGCCCCCGCGGGGTGGAACAGTTGCGAAGGCTGTGCTTAATTGTATTTCTTCCAATCCTCAAGGAACTCGTGTTTTAAGGCTTTGTATAGGAAGCAGGAAGCAGCGGGTCTGATTCTGAGGCTTAAGAGCCTGACAATATCTCTTTAAATAGAAGCTCCGCGAGGGGGATAATTGACTGAAGTGTTTGCGACGTGAAACAGCGGCGCGCGGGAGTCGGGAGCCCACATGAGCCGCAGGTCCAGGTTTAAATTACATCAAACTTTGGCTAGAGCTGCAAGGGGGCTGTTAAACGGCTCCTTCTTCTTGCTGGGCAGTTAATGGAGCGGATGATGGATGCTGGAGGTCAAGACCCGGGACTCCTGCCTTGGCCCCACCTTGTGGGACGCAGGCCCGGCCCAGGTTTATTACTGGGCAGATGAGTGAGTCAGAGGCCCTTTCCCGGGTTGGTCCTTTGTCCCCTGCCCGCTCGCCCCCGCCATCCTGCCCTGTGCTGGCCTAGCCAGGCGGCGGGATTGGGGGAACGGTGTCCGGCGGGGCGCTTGCGCTAGGACCCTGCCGGAGTGCTAGCGCGCTAGTCTTTGCGCCCGGCCCGCAGGGAGGCGGCAAGTGGGGCTCTTTTGTGAACCGCTAGGGTGGGACTTGACGCCTTTCACCTGCCTGCGGTGGGGGTCTTTCCAAGACGTCGATATATCTGTTCGCCTTTGCAGTACGGAAGGTTTCTCGCCAGTAACTCCCAGGGAACTGCCCAGAGAATGACCGTGCGAGATATTGGGCCTGGCGGTAAGGGGTGGGTGGTCAGGAGTGGGCCTCGTGCAGGTGTCAGGACACCTCCCCAGTCCTTGCACCCCGCTGACCCATCCGCTGTGCCAAGCAGGCCGGCGCACTGGAGGACGTGATCTCTGGTGCCCCCTGGTGGCAGCGCTGCGCTCTCCCCGCTGCGCCCCGGCTCGGAGCTCTGACACCTGCTTTTCTTTGGGATCACCGCTGTGTACTTCTCCCTCCGTGTACATTTACCGTGGAATCCTCTTCATCTTGTAGAATATTAAATCCGGATACTTGAAGTCACTTCACAGCAGTGAGGTGAAGGACAATGAACAAAAAACTCGCATTGAGAGTAGCAGGAACCCAGACCCTTCACTAAGGACCGCAAGTGAAATCTTCCAAGTTAAGGCTGCGTGTCCTGAGAGGTACTGCTCTCTTCCGAAAAGGTGGAGCCGCCAACCCTTCCCTTATGATTCTGAACCTTGGGACCTGCTGATTATGCAGTTGTTTTCTTCTGATATTTGCTTTCATTTCTGAAGTGTTCTGCCCTCTCCCTTCCCTCTTCTCCCAAAACAAATGTCTCTCCTCAGTCCCCCTGTCTGGGTGGTGGGTGCACAATACCAAGTGCCTGAAAAGCGTGAGGGAGAGGGTCTGGGGTGGGGTGGGGACACTGGACACCCCAAGTGCAAACTGCTGCTTTCTGACCCTTGCTTGCTCATGTACTCGCTATTCAACTGTGTTTAATTGTAATGACGTTGTTAGTGGTGTAGGAATCCAAGTGTTTTGGCTCAACAGCATGAAGTCTGGGTTGCACATTGTATAAGAGGTGCTGTAATCTTTCCAGTATCTCTGATATGTGGCTTTTTGGTTTATTGTCGCCCTGGGCCCTCTTTACTGGATAAACAACCATGAGGGCTCTTCTCTGTGGAGCTGTGGAGAGCTTGGTGGTAGAAAGTGATGTTCCTAAAAACTGCAGCAGCTCTTTCCTGTCTAAACTGAATCGTGTGTCTAACTGCCTTGCTGTCCTGACAGACTCCTTCCCAGGTCCGGTTCCATGCAGACCTTCCACGCTTCACATTTTGCTGCCCTGAACTTGCTCCTTTGTCAGTCCCAGGGTGTTGAGGCTGGGTCCTTTCTAGCAATCTCCACCTTCAGAAGAGACTTTTCTAAATCTTTTGCTTTTCCAATTCTTGTTGCTTTTGTCATTGTGAAGAGTCACCCAGGACACTGGCGCTCGGTACCCTGAGGTCAGAACCAGTCTGTGTGTGAGCTGTGGGACATAACGCACACCCTTTCAGAGTGATATTGTGTGGTGGAAGGTTAGTTCTGTTAGAGCTCAAAGAATAGTTAATAAATCCAGTATTATTCCGTTGCGAGAACTGGCCTCTTTGCCTTATCAAGTACTCCTGACCCTCCAAAGGGCTCCCTTTGGAGAGATGGACAGAGCCCTTGCCTCCTGTGGAGGCTCCTGCCTTAGTGAGCGTCTGCCCTCCCGTCCCACTGTGCTGGCTCCGGAAGGTAAGTCACAGGTCAGCACCTCAGCCGTGCTGAGCTGGCAGCTGGGCAGCACCAGGGCACCTGTCAGGGTATGAATGCACTGGGGAGTGAAGGCAAGGCTGTGTGGTTGCTCCTGGCTTGCTCCTGAACCCTGGGCAGTGAGACCTCAGGAAGGAAATGTGGGAATCTGTGTGGGAACTGGAAGTTGCAAGATAAGTTCATCCACCTCCCCACCCTTAGGACGAGAGCCCAGGCCGCCTGGTTTCCAGGCACTGCTCTGTTCTTTCTCAACTCTGTGCCATCTCCCTCAGTCCTGAGGAGTGAAACAGGGATGGCTCTCACCGGAAGCAGTTTCAGACCACTTCCTATGGACGGCTTGAGGTCCGGCGTGGTGGTGAGAAGTGCGCAGAGGATGGGAGAAGCTGACACGTGGGGTGCTCACCAGCCACTGTGGCCACCCCCAGCAGACACAGTGCACGGCCCTGGCTTTTCCCGGGGGCTCTTCTCCCCTGGGAAGAAGGCCCATCTACTTTTCATCTTCTTCTTTCCCAAGGGTCTTTGACTTCCTGTTTCCCTTCCTCTCTGCCCTCCTTTTGGGCCCACAGGCCACCAAGGAAGAGTTGGGTGTTCTGCGGCCAAGTTGGGTGTTCTGCGGGGTGGCCGCTGGAGAGCTCACATGGGGAGGAAGGGAGGCTACACAAGACTCGCCCACCCCAGGCGCCTCCTCTCCAAGATGGCCAGGCTCTACTCCCAGAGACACAGGACGCTCAGTGGCTTTGAACACTCAAGTTAATTTAAAACAGGCACAAGTGCAACAATTCACAAAAATTTCTAGGGAAGATGCTTTTGTTTTGAAAACTGACCCTTAAAAAAAAGTCCTTGCAATTTCTTTGCCCCCAGGAAGGTCACTAGGGAGCAGAAGAATCTAAAAATATTATCTAGATAGAAAGGGTCCAGACACCTGAAGTTCTTTCCCAGAATTTCCACCTCACAGCAGCCCTGAAGTTGGAGGCGGAGGAGGACAAGGAGACAGCTGTCTGTGGAGGCAGCCGGGGCAGATGGTTTGCACAAATGGGTGCTCGTGACCTTGACATGATGGAAACCCAGAGGCGGTTCAGCTTCTCTCCCAGACAGGGCTCTGAAGAGAACAATGGTTCCCTGATGACCTTGTGATTGAGTTAAACTTGAAAGGTAAAACAGTTACCATTCCCTACATTCCTGTCTCTGGTCCTCACACTTCACAGTCCGGGAGAAGCTCAGAAACGTCCCAAGCCCCCAGGATACGTTGGACTCCGTTTGGACCATGCCACTGGTCAGGTTGACATAGGACTGGAGAGGTGGAAGCCAGGCCAAGAAAGCAGGCCCCTTCAGGCCAGAACTTAGTGGGAGAGAGGATGGGGCAGCCTTCCTGGAGCTGGCTGTGGGTGACCTGAAGGGACCTGGGCTGTCAGACACACACACGTTCTCTCCATCCTGTAAAGTGAGAGCACCTTCACCACTGACCCCATTCTTTCACTCAGAAATTGCCCCCTCACTCCTCACCCCCAGCCATGGCCTGGAGCAGGCAGTGCATGTGGGACTGCGCCTTCAGGACATCAGACACAAGGGAGGAAGCAGGGTTCAGGTCCTGAAAACCATTGCTGTGGCCCCCTTGAGACCCGAGGTTTGAAGCTGGAGCTGAGAACAGCAAGTATCTGTGTGGAGACCAGCAGTCCAGCCTCCGCAGTGGCCTAGGACGCTAGTGTACAACTACCTTTAAAAAACCACAGCAGCCTTTTCTGCTGTGTGGGCTGCAGGGGCCAGGAATGCTGGCCTCTGCGTTTCTTAGAAATATCCCTGTGCAAATACCAAGGGGTCATCCTGTGGAAAGGGTCTCCACCTGGGGATTTGGGAGGGAGAGACACTGAGGGGGCAGGTCCGGCCTGGCCCAGTAGGCTGAGGAGCAGAGGGTGGGGCTGGGGCTTCACATTTCAATCTTTGGAGAGAATACTGAGAAAACGAGGCAGGCAAGCCCTGCTGGCAGGCTGGCTGCCCAGTGTGCCCTGCCTGTGGGCACAGGTGGCAGGCATACTCAGGGTGGGCTCAGCAGGTGGAGGTCTGCTTGCGGTAGAGCTGGATCAGGGGCACCAGGCACTCGGGCAGCCCTGTCTGCAGCAGGAAGGGGTGGTCTAGGAGCTCCTGGGCCGTGGCTCTCTCTTGGGGGTCCCGCACCAGCATCCGCTCCAGGAAGTCTCGAAGCATGGGGGAGACCTGTGGAGATAGGGCAGTGAGATGGAGCCACAAAGTGCAGTCACTTTGGGATGACCTGATTGCCTGGCCCTGTCATTGATTCAAAGTCTTGAATTCTGGTGTGTGTTTTTTGGTTTGTTTTTTTTTTACTTCTGTCACCTTGCCCCTCCCCAACCCCCAAGGCTCTCAGCATTCAGATGCTGTAGCTCCGTCTAGAAGGGGCAGAGAATTCACATCAGTGATCCAGGCCTGACTCTATCCCTGATCTCAGGCAAGTCACAGTTTTCTCTAGGCCTCAGTTTTCTCAACTGTAAAATGGGCTAGTGATAAACTATGCCCTGTTTTCCACATAGGGGTTTAAAGAAGATTTTAAAAACAGCTCAAGGATGAGGAAGGAAGTGTTCCTCTAGGCCTTAAAGTCTAAGGCAAGGGCTTATCTTGGTTCATTTTGAGCCAGTATCTTGGGATGAGGCTCATCCTCTGGGAAATTAGCCAACTAATTTGGGGATCTCTGTATGTTCATTTTGGGGTTAGTGGTGCAGGCTTCAAGGACCAGTTGTCTTGGAAGATGTTTCCCATCCAGCTGTGTGTTGGGGCCACAGAACCTTTTTTTTTTTTTTTTTTTTTCTTTTTAGAGGTGAGGCTTCAACCCTCTGAGATATTTCTTGCTTTGGTCACCAGATGGCAGTGCCACCTAGCAGCCCTGTGCTGAACGGCCAGCAGGGGGCATCCACAGTAAGGCCTGCGAGGTTGGGGGTATTTGGCAAAAAGCGTTACATGTATAAATATCCATGTATGAGTATACTGACTTTAAGGGGAACGCTGTGGCTCAGCTGTGTCGGCGTATGCAGCGATGGAGCATGAGCTGACTTGCCGTGATGGACAGGGACGTCACATCATGGTATGGATCTCCCAACACATGGGGTGGAGGGATTTGTGCTCAGTGAAGCTTCGGATTCCTCCCGGGACAGCAGGGATTGCTGGTGTCCTGCTTTCCCTGCTCATGGGCATCCCTGGGCTTCTGACCAGTGCCTGCGGAGCAGCGACCCTCCTGCCGTAGCCATGGGAGGAGACTTGCTGGAGCGCATAGGCGAGTTTGTGCGGAGATACTGCTCCACACCCAGGTGCGGGTTTTGTGTGGAGAAAGAGGAGCCTTTTCCAGGAGCCCAGACCCTGTGGCTTCTGTGGAAGGGAGAGGCTGGGAGTCCAGGCTTTGGTCCTCTCGCCTCAGGAGGAATGGGGTCTGTGAGGTCACACCCTTGTGCACCAACTGACCTTGTGAGAGTTCTTCAGCTTGGGTGGGGGGCAGTCCCGGAGCCTCTTCATGGCTTGCACTGGGGAGTCGCTGAAGTAGGGTGGCTCCCCATCCACCATCTCAATCACCATGATGCCCAGAGACCAGATATCCACCTGCAGGAAGAAAATGTCCCTGACCCCATGGCCAGAGCCTGGTCCCTTGGTGGCTATGTGCTGGAGGCAGCAGAGGGGAGGATGGGGGCCAGCTGGCCCCAGTTCTCCTTGGTGAGTCTGACTCTCTCCTCCCCTAGTCACCTGCCCTGTGGCCAGTTCCTGCCTGCATGAGTGACCACTGCCTATAGGGGTACAGCTGTCAGTCACTCCCATCATCCATGGGAGGCCTGGCCATGCGCCATTGTGCCCTTGAGCTGAGGAAAGCACTTGCAGGACTCATTCCTGGCAGCACAGTCATGGGTGAGAGCAGCCCCACTGCAGGGGAAAGGGTGTTGACCTGGTAGGACTCTGAGGACCAGGGCTGCTTTTGGCGAGGTCACTGGAGGGGCCCCAGTGGAAGAGCTGCCAGTGCTTTTGGGAGGCCGGGGTTGGGGGAGCGGAGGGAACCAGTTACCTCAGTGGCATACAAAGACCTGGAGATCACTTCAGGAGCCATCCAGTAAGGGGTTCCCACCAGGGACTTCCTCTTAGGGACGTCTTTGCTGATCTGAGCGCAGAATCCGAAGTCCGAGAGCTTCACCTGGGGTTAGAAGGGGAGTGAGTGGTGACCAGGAGGAGGGAAGTGGTGGCGTGGCTATGCCGCGGACAGGATGGGACCTACCCTGCCATCAAGGGTCAGCAGAATGGAGTCGCTCTTGATGTCCCGGTGGATGACGCCCTGGGCATGGAGGTAGGCCAGGGCCTGCAGCACAGCCTCACACACAGTGGCAATCTGCTCTTCATTCAGCCTGGACAAAAAGTTGGGGCCGCCCGGTGGAAAAAGATTGTTAGCTCTGGCAGGTCATGGGGTGGCTGGGCACAGTAGGAGTCCCTGGTGCTGGGCCCCACGGCTCCCAGGCAGTCTGTTTGGTAGCATAGTCAGGCCATAGCCCTGGTGAAAACCGGGGCCTGAGCCTTGGCTGGAAGCCTGGAAGCCACCCTTCTCTTTTCCATTGCCAAGATTCCTGGGTCTAAGTTACCTCAATAGGCAGGGGAGCCCAGGATGACCTGACAGGCATCCCAAGTCTTTTGGGCTACAGACAGAAGACTACATTGCCCTGGCAGGGCCACGGTGAGGGCAGCCTGCACTCAGGGCCCAACCCTCCCAGCTGCCCACCTGACTTGGGAGACAATGTCCGTGAGGGCTCCTCCTTGCAGGAACTCCATGAGCACCCACAGCTCCTCGCCCACCAGGTAGCTCTTATACATCTCCACCACGTTGACGTGCTGGTAGTCCCGCATGATCACCACCTGGGGGCAGGCGGAGGCTGAGTGCCGGGCACAGTGCCCAGATGTGTGGTTACCTGCTGCCCCTGCTCACAGATGTCCAGCTCGGCTGGCTGCTCACTGCCCATCCCAAACGCCCCTGCCCGTGGCCCGCCCTGTCCTCCCACCTCGTTGAAGAGCAGCTCCCTGCGCTGCTGCTTCCTGAGGTCCATCATCTTGACGGCCACCTGGCGGCCCGAGTGCTTCTCCCGGGCCAAGCAGACAATGCCGGTGGAGCCCTCGCCAATCTTCACGTAGCTGTCCAGCAGCAGCCGGGGATCGCCCTGGTCCACCACCATCCTGAGCGCTGCCTTAAACTGCTCATGCGTCACAACACCTGTGTCCTCACCAGCCAGGGTGCCCTTGGCGACAGTGGGGTCCTGGGGCAGGTACAGGTTGCTGGTGCTGATCTGGGCGTGCCGGGTGCGGGGGGAGCCCGCTGGGGAAGACCGGCCTGGAAGTGGGCCTGTAGCCGGGGCTGTGCGGAGGGACTTCTGGGGGCTGCTGGTATCCGAGGTGGTCAGAGGGCTGAAGGTCCCCACCGGCTGATCCGAGGGCAAGGACTGGGCCTTGGCCACCAGGCTTGGGGGGTTTTCTTTCTGCAGTGGTCGGAAAGACGAGTTGGGCTGCAGGGACAAAGCAACAGGAAGGGGCATGGCTGTGGGATCATTTGGAGTAACTACCCAGAGGCAGAGGCTGGCCTCTGTGATCTCTGGGCTCTGGCAGGGTTAGGCAGGGTGTCAGACCAAATTAGGGAGGTGCTGTGAGCAAAGATTTTCAGACAGAGGTGAAGCCCAGCCCCAGTCCTAGTCCTGTGTGAGCAGCCCAACCCAGTCCGCCAAGCTGAGCAGGCCCAAGACAGCTCCTTACACCTGCTCTGCTGCACCTGGGAAGTCAGAGAAGGCCAAGTCCCCACGGGGTCTTGTGCTGGGTATTTCTTCCTGGGCAATTGACAGCAAGACTGCAGGGAGGCTGCCGTGAGGCAGAATCTTCCTCTGTGCTAAGGGGCCGCTTGGAGCATCTGGATCGGAGGCATTCTTCACTGCCAAGGCTCCCCTCCAGGACCCATGGGGGCAGAAGAGGCCCGGGTAGCGGGGTGGGGAGCAGTGGGCAGCTGTGTATCCACTCCCTGAGCCAAGGCAGGGGAGCCACATCTGGAGCCCGAAAGCCCTGCTTGTGCCTGCGAGCCTGTGCTGGGAGGTTATGTCCCTGACAGAGGACCACAGAGCTATGTCACCATCTGGGGGGTTCTCAGGTGTCTCCCCTGGCCGGGGATCTGGTGCCAGAGAGATCTGGAGTCAGGTGGGTAAGTCCGGCCAAACCCAAGACTTGAGGCCAGGGATGGGGAGGTGTTTTAAGGACTCCTAAAGGAGTCCTTCCACTTCCTTCCTGGCATGAAGCTCCTGGTTGAGGACCCCCACACACACGGAGGAGAAGGCAGGGGGCCTAGCCTCATGCAGTGTGGCAGGGAAGGAGGGAAAGTGGAGCTGAGGAGCAGCCTGGGCTCCCAGTGAGCCCTGCTTAGGCCCAGCCCTGGAAGCCTACGAGGCTTCTTGCTTTTCAGAGCCCAAGCCCTCCTGCTCTCCTGGCAGCAAAGGCACCCTCCCATCTTTGGGTTCTTCCAAGGAGTGGTAACAGGCACCATGACCCCTGCCAGGCATTATGTACTTTTATTAAAATGAGACAGAGTCTTGCTCTGTCACCAAACTGAAGTGCAGTGCCGTGATCTCAGCTCACTGCAACCTCCACCTTCCAGGTTCAAGCAATTCTCCTGCCTCAGACTCCTGAGTAGCTGGGATTACAGGTGTGCGCCACTATACCTGGCTAATTTTTTGTGTTTTTAGTAGAGTCGGGGTTTCACCATGTTGGCCAGGATGATCCTGATCTCTTGACCTTGTGATCCACCTGCCTCGGCCTCCCAAAGTGCTGGGATTACAGGCATGAACTACTGCGCCCAGCTACATTATGTATTTTTAAAGAGCACCTGGAGAGGGATGCTTTAGAGGCTGCAGAGAAAGCCTTCTAGGAACTTCTCCAAACCTATCATGTAAGCAACTGTCTTAGGTGCCCAGTGGGTCCTGGTCCTGATCCCAGAGCTGAAACAACTTATAGGAAATCTTAAGCAGTAAGCTTGGGCTGGGATGCTTGCTCAGGGACCCCAAACCCCAAATCTGGGCCTTGGGTCCCATCAGAGTCTTTTAAATGTCTTTAGCAACCCCTGACCACCCCCGCCATGGCCTCAGGGCTTCCACTCTCCAGACAAATCCCTGGCCTGCTTAGGGTGGAACAGGTACTCCGGCTAGAGAGCCATGCTTGACCTTCACAGGGAAGGAGCTAGAAAACCTCCCAGGACTGCCTGGACTCAGTCCATTCTCTGGTGACTGCAATTAGACAGTAAACATTCTCCCATGTCCTTGCCAGCACCTGACTGTCACCATCCACTGTGTAGAGGAACAGTGGGACCTCTGGACTGGGTTGTGAGGACCTGGGGCCCAGCTCTGGGCATCTGTGCCCTGTGATGAGCCTCAGGCAAGTCATCCTCCCTGAGCCCCAGTCTCCCCGCTATGATGCAGGGGCGTGCACAGTGATCTGGGGAGCTGGATAAACTGCAGAGCCTGGTTCAGTGGGACCCTGGAGCAGACATGCTGCATTTGAACAAGGTCCCTGGGTCCTAGGAGGCCCATGGAACATACTTTGAGAAGCTCTGCATGAGTGGGCAGTGGGCTGTGAGGGGTGGAGGGAGCATGGCCACGACTGAGGCTGAGATGCCAGGTCCTAGGAGCAGAGGTTCACTGCATCACACAGTCACCCTTCAGAAAGGCTCAGGGCGCTAAGGAGGCTGCCTGCTGGCCTGAGTGCGAACTTAGAAAACATGCTCTCCAGCCGCCCATCCATGAGGGTTGGGGCAGAAGCTTGGGGACCACCTAAAGCTCCTCTTGAGGTGGCTCTAATGACCTCTCTCATCCTGAAGCTCCTATGAAAGGCTGTGAAATGATTTCCTTCCCCTCCTGGCCTCTAGGGCTTCTGCATGGGCCAGCTCCACTCAGGATGTGTGGGCGTGGGGGCAGGAGCCACATGGAGAGGCCAAGGTGGGGGTTCTTTTTCCCTGTCTCCACAGGCCAGGTCCCTATGCTGCTGCTGAGCCGCAGGTGCTGGCTGTGCTCAGGGTGGAGCCTGCAACTGGAGGCTGGGGGAGGGGTGGCCCAGCCAGGAGCCCAGCACTGGCAGAGTCTGGGACACAGGCCAGGGAGTCCGGGGAGCTGGCTTGGTCTTCAGCCTGGCAAGGTCTGGTCCCCAGTGTCCTTGTGTTGGCTTCACTGCCTGTCTCCACAGGGAGGGATTTTTACTCAATATAATCACAAGCAAGGACCAGATGAAACTTGGGAAGCCACACAAGAAAGGGAAAGGGGGACACGACAATGGAATTAATTAATTGTTACACACTCTGGATTAATTCTGAAGTTACTCATGTGACAGACCTCTTGGGAAGGAGGCTGCTAGAAGAGGCAGGCATATGTTCATAGCAGTGCCTCACTTCCCTCCCTGAGCCGCGGCTCTCCAGCTGTGGGCTTAGGGGGCTGTACCGTAAGTATCCTAAAGCAGAGAGGCCGTGGCATAATATTTTTAAAAGTAACAAAGCCGTCTTGGCACGGTGGCTCATGCCTGTAATCCCAGCACTTTGGGAGGCTGAGGTGGGCGGATCACTTGAGGTCAGGAGTTTGAGACCAGCCTGGCCAACATGGTGAAACCCCATCTTTTCTAAAAATACCAAAATTAGCTGAGTGTGGTAGAGTGAGCTCACAGTCCCAGCTACTTGGGAGGCTGAGGTGGGAGTATCACTTCAACCCGGGAGGTAGAGGTTGCAGTGAGCTGAGATTGTGCCACTGCACTCCAGCCTGGGCGACAGAGGGAGATGCTGTCTCAAATAATAATAAAGCCATTTATTGAGGGCTTACCACTTAGACAAGTGCCTTCAGTGCCCTCTCTCGTGTAATCCTCATTACCCTGCGGGTTTATTATCCCGCAGGCACTGGAACCCACAGGATGCCCATGGCTCCTGACTCCCATGCTGTAATCCTACTGATGCTGTGTATCCTTGGCATAAATCAGAGTACACAGTAGTGCTTAATCAGTGTTTGCCCTCTGACTCTTAAGTGGAACATGTCTAAAGCCCCAAGCTCCTAACAAACTGTCTTTCGTCTTTGGCCTCTGTGCCTCCACACCCTGTCTTCCTGTGCTCTTTAGCCAGAGTGACTCCAGGCCGCACTGCCTGGAGCTAGGTCCAGAAGCCCTGGGGTCTATACTCAGACCCTCCTGCAGCCATGCCTGGTACACTGCGTGGCCCCTGTGGCCTGACTGCTGTTATGGAAGCTGTTGCAAGTGTTCAGAGTCAGTCCCGGTGCCGAGGACTGCTGGCTTGGTCTGGGGGCTCCTGAAATAGGTAGTGGAGAAGGAGGAGGAAGGCTGATGCCCCCATCTGTGTGGGAATTTGCTGAAGGCAATGGTTCTCAATGGGGGTGCTCAAGTGACATCTGGCAATGTCTGGAGGCATTTTTTGTTGTTCCAACCGGGGGTACCACCAGCTTCTAGTGAGTAGTGGCCAGGGAGACTGCTACAGTGCAAGCAGAGCCTGCCACAAAGGATGGCCTGACCTGAACATCAGCAGGGCAGGGGCTGAGAAACCCCAGCCCAGAGCAGCTCAGGGGGTCTTAGCCTTGCTTTTAAGATGCCTGGCTTCAAAGTAGAAATCTCAAAAGGTGTGTCTGAGTTGCCCAGAGGGAAACCACTCCCATGGATTTGGAAGTATGGTGTTGTCGAGCTCAGGATAACTACCACCTGCTCCCACAGGTATGGGGGACACTCCAGCACATGCAGAGCAGTAGCCCGTGGTGAGTGCTCAGCACATTGTGCAGGGATGGACAGTCCCCTCACCCTGCTGTAGGGTGCTGACAGGAGCCCAGGAAGATGCAAATGAGTGCCCAGCCCAGTGCTGACAACCTGTTTCTCCAAATCCCTGTGGTCCCCCAGCAGGATTCCTGAGAGACAGGGGAGGTGGAGCTCCCATTCTCACCTTCCCAGCAGGGTGCACTGCCCTGATCTCACCTTATTTTCTGGCTGAGCCTCTCCAGGGGCACAGCCTTCCAGAGACCCTGCAGCTCACAGATTCTCTTGTTCCTCTCACAGATACACCACGCCACACCCCATGGGAATCCCAACCCACTGTCCTTTAACCTAGTAGGGGACAGGAGTGCACAAAGCCCAGAACTTTCTCTGAGTACCTCAGCTGGCCGGCAGTGACCCAGAAAGGCTGTAGTCCAGGCCATCCCCAAACCCCTACCCTGGGCAGGCTGGGCCACACTCACCCCATCGCTGACAGGGAAGGACCCAGGCTTGTCTTAAAGCCCTCCCAGGAGGGAGAGGAGGATCCATTACCCATGCCACTGTCAGCAGCCATTTATTTGGAAGGAGCCAAAGAACAAGTAGCTGCCGTAGTTGTAAAGCTTCATACACAAGAGCCATGAGCCAAGAGGACCGGGCTGGACAGGCAGCCCCAGAGCACCCCCACCTTCCTTCTCTGACTCACTCTCCATGCCTGGGAGTGTCTCACCCTCTGTCAGTTTCTTCCTCTGCCAAATGGGAAAGGAGGTTACTGTCACTACGGACGATGCTGGAGGGCCTGCAGGAAGCAAAAACGTGCTCTGCTCTGCCTGCCAAGAAATGTCAGCATGGGCTCCCTTCACCCTTTCCTTTCTCACAAGAAAAATGTGCGTCTGAAGCAGTCACACATGCCACAGGTCGGCCCTCCTACTGCCGCTCGACGAGGCAAATACAGTCCTCCAGTGTTTCCTATTGCCACACGAATAATGACAAATGTGAAACAACACTATTGCCACAGAGAAAAGAAGGAAAGGAAGGGAGGGACGGAGAGAGGGAGGAGGCAGGCCGGCCTCCTTAGAGAAGAGGTTACCATGCACATTTCTGGCGCTGTAGGGGGAAGCAGTCTGGGGAGCCTCTGGGGAAGGCCAGGCAGGGCCTGTATCCCCGTACCCACTCCCCAGTGGACGCCCGCAGGCCCAGCTCCTGACTTACCTTGCTCTGTGGTGGAGGGCCCGGCTTGCTGCTGCTTGGAGGGGCTGTGGCAGCAGTGGACAGGAACATGCTTCGGAATAGCCTGCGCTTCAGGCTGCTCTCCTGGGTCTTAGGGCTAGGGCTGCCTTCCCCACCTGGCCTGCTCGTGGCTGAGCCCACCAAGCAGGACTGTGGCCGGGCCTCCTCAGAGCCATGCTTGGCAGCCTTCATTCCATGCCTACTGGTGGCTGTGGGGGGCGAGGCTCCTGGTGGGGAGCTCTGCAGGCAGGCACCCAGCTGCAGACAGCGCTGCGAGGCGCCCTGGAACTCAGCGGGGCCCAGGGACTGAGCCTTTGCAGCCAGCCCATTGGACAGGACCCGTGGGCTCTGTGGCTCGGGCCATGGCATCTGCTGGAGGCCTGCTGGTGTGCCCCCGTTGCAGCTGAGGTAGAGGCCGTGGGGGTCAGTGCGCTCAGACTGAGGACTCTGGAGGTACATGTCTGGGTCGGTGGCCCAGTGCTCATCCCCCAGCAGTCCCAGGGACTGTGCCCGCCGCCGGCTGGTGGGGCTGCGGCCACGCAGGGTGTTGGAGCTGATGGCTGACAGCTTCTGGATGTCGTTGAGCAGTCCCGAGATGTAGCCATCCACAGGCACCGCATTGCCGCGCACCACTGTCTGTAGGGGTCAACAAGAGAATGTGTAGGAGCTGCCTGATTGCGGCAGGAAGGGGCGGCCGGGAGATCAGGGTCAGAGAATGTCCTCAGCGGCCCTGGGGAGGACCACCTGAGGATCTCCCCTGCTGTGTCATCCACCCATTCATTTTTCCATAATTTCTCAGGGCCCACAGTGGGTCCCACCTGTGCTGGGTGCAGGGATGCAGGAAGGCCCACCGCCAGCAGAGCAGACAGCGAGTGCCATGGGGCTGCATCCAGCATGCCTAGGGTGTGGTCGGCTGGGCCTGGGAGCTGGAGCTCAGAGGTGGGGCTCCCTTCTGTAGCTCCATGGGTGGCTGGGAGGGATGTGACCAGCCCTCTGAGGAGGCAGAGATCAGGCCGGGGGCTCCTTCACACACACTGGCTTGGCGGCCTCCAAACCCTCATAGGGACCCTGACCCCAACTTCTACCAGACTCTTGGGTTTACTAGTCCTAACCCTCACAACTAAAATTCTCCTGGTCTGGGAGAGCCTTCAGTCCCCATGGAGTTGCAAGTGCAAGTACTGAATGGGGCAAGTCCTAAAACACTATTCATTCTCATCTGAAATACAGATGCAGTTGAGCATCTTTATTTTTTGAGACGGAGTCTTGCTCTGTTGCCCAGGCTGGAGTGCAGTGGCATGATCTCGGCTCACTGTAACCTTCACCTCCCGGGTTCAAGCAATTCTCCTGCCTCAGCCTCCAGAGTAGCTGGGATTACAGGTGCATGCCACCATGCCTGGCTAATTTTTATATTTTAGAGAGTGGAGACGGGGTTTCACCATGTTGGTTAGGCTTGTCTTGAACTCCTGACCTCATGTTCCTCCCGCCTCAGCCTTCCAAAGTGTTGGGATTACAGGCGTGAGCCACTGCACCAGGCCACAACTGAGCATCTTGTATTTTCATGTGCTGAATTTGGCAACCCTAGCACCCTGCAGAGAGGCTCTCCCCAGATTCCTTCGCCCTGGCTTACCCAGGGACAGAATGCCAGGCTGACAGGCGGGGAGTGAAAGCGGCTGGTTAATTGATAGCTGTGAAGTAGGTGGTTCCTCCAGGGGCCTGTCTGAGGCTTAGCCAGGTATGGTTGTCTGTGTACTGGGAGAGGCCGAACTTGACCCCCATCCCTGCCCGCCCCACTTACCTTCATGGGTTGGAGCTGCACCCGCGTGATTCGCGAAGGGTCCACCACGGGCTTGGGACGCCGCAGTGTGTCCAGAATGTTCTGCCATTGTGGGGGGAGGCCCACAAACTTGCCTTCTTTGGGGTCGAAGGAGGTGTGGACACGGTGCTGGAAGTTCTGTGGGGCCGAGATCTCAGGGCGTTTCTTCTTTTTCTTGCGGAACATGGTGCCTGTAAGGGCAGGGTCAAGTTGAGCTCCTGCTTGGAAACCACGGGTGGCTGCAGCAGGAGCTGGGGCACCAGGCTCAGGACTCCCTCCCCTGCCCCAGCACATCTCCCACTTCCCCAGCCTAGGGCTTCCCTCCACTCCATCCCCACTTCCTCAGGGAAATGGCTGGCTCCCAGCAGAACAGTCCCAGAAACAACAAAAGCACCATAAATAAGCCAGTGCAGACTATCAACAAGGAAAGCGGTATCTTCTTGTCTGTGCCAAGTACCCTGAGGAGCAGGCAGACTCTGGGGGTGTGTTTTTATAAAATCCAAAGCCCATTACAAATATCATTCCACTGTCAACGAATTTTAAAAAAGGGGAAGGAGGGAGGAAAGCTAGCAAACTTGTTTTATGAAACGAGTGTGACCTTGATTCTTAAAACCAGGTAAGGAGAGTACAAGAAAAGGAAAATTCGACCCTAATCTCACTTAGGAACATAACTGTGAAAATCTTAAACAAAGCTATCAGATTGAATCCAACAGTAGATTAGTTTTTTTTTTTTGTTTGCTTTTTATTACAACTCAGGTTTGTCCTAGGATGGTGGAGCTTGATAACTGATTAATACAAAGCCAACCAGCTGATCACCGACATGCTGCCCAGTCTGCAACCATGCATCAGGAGGCCCCTAAAGGGCCTTTGGTTACCAGGTGCTTTACCTCAATTCCAGAAAGGCCCTGAGCCAAGAGGATATCCTGGGGTGGGTGCGGGGCAGCTATCTTAGGAGTGAAGCTCTCCACAGATGGCAGAGAGCACCACCTCCCCGTGGGACTCTTCTCTCTGGTCTTGGAGCTCTATGCGAAACATCACCTGGGTGAGGCATGGTGTTCACGCCTGTAATTCCAGCACTCTGGGAGGCTGAGGTGGGTGGATCGCCTTAGGTCAGGAGTTTGAGACCAGCCTGGCCAACATGGTGAAAACCTGTCTTTACTAAAAACACAAAAAAATTAGCCAGAATTAGCCAGGCATGGTAGTGCATGCCTGTAGTCCTGGATACTTGTGGGGTTAAGGGAGGGGAATGACTTGAACACAGGAGGCTGAGGATGCAATTAGCCGAGATCATGCCACTGCACTCTAGCCTGGGTGACAGAGTGAGACTCTGTCTCAAAGAAAAATGAAAAAAAAAAAAAAAAAAAAAAAAAA